ACGGTTCAGTTCCCGGTCAGGGCACATGCCTGGGTTGCAGGCTCGATCCCCAGTGCGGGGCATGCAGGAGGCAGCAGATCAATGATTATCTCTCATCATTGATGTTTCTATCTCTATCTCTCTCCCTCTTCCCTCCTCTCTGAAGTCAATAAAAATATATATTTAAGAAAAAGAAAAGAAAAGATAGATTCAATCACACAGAGTTTGTGCACTGGCATGTGAAGGGTGGGGCAAACATGGGTTCACAGCTTTAAGTATGAAACACAGAATTATTCTTGTATTGTTATTTATTAATTACTACAGGCCTGGTGCATGAATTTGTGCTCTGGTGGGGTCCAGCCGGCTTGCCTGATCAGGGCCATTGGGGGTGGGGCTGGCTGGAGCAAGGGGCCACAGGTGGTTTTCTGGCCAGCTCCAGGCCTGATTGGGGTCCAGGGGCCAGCTTGGGTGCAGGGCCAGCCAGGGTGAGGGGCAGCAGGCGTTCTGGTGGTTCTGTTATTTGGTCAATTTGCATATTACCCTTTTATTATATAGGATTGTGTTATTTCCCATACAAACAACTGTAAACCTACTTTTGCTCTGCCCTGTGCAGAAGAACAGTAAGGATGGAGGTAAGAGACAAACACCTGGGCATTGAAGGCTGTTTGACTGAAGAGAAATAAACTGGAAGAGAAGATCACATCAGTGCCAAATTATTATAAAAAATAAATTAAAAAGTGAAGTTTGATCAGTGGTGCTGATATTTCTTTTTTGTCCCAGTCTCCAGTGTGGCTCTGTGGGGCAGCATGACACACGTGCCTGCGTCAACCTCCCCACCTACTGCTCCTGCCTAGTCCGTGAAATGAGGCTTTCTAGAACTTACTGATTCACCATGTCACTTCCTCTAACACAGCCTCCAATGCCTCACTCCTGAAGCCAAGCTCCTGTCTGGAGTTCATGGCCCTCAGCCCTGTGACCCTCCTGTAGCCCCCTCTGTAACCCTCCCTGATCCCCTGCATGCTGAGCATCCTCACGGCCCCAGATCGCACTTCCCTTGTGCTTGTCACCCCCAAACCCCACAGTCCTTACCTCTATCTCTCCTGCCTAAATCCTTCTTATTTGCCTTTCATAATTGTACTGTTAGGTACGCCATCTCCTTCTTTTACTCTCCAGGCCTTTCGCCAAGTGTTTTAGGCTAAATATTACTCCACCTTGCCTGGTCGGCGTGGCTCCAAGGTTAAGCGTTGACCTATGAACCAAGGGGTTACAGTTCGATTCCCAGTCAGGGCTCATGCCCAGGTTGCGAGCTCGATCTCTAATGTGGGGTGTGCAGGAGGCAGCCGATAAATGATTCTTTTTAATTGTTGATGTTTCTATCTCTCTGTCCCTTTCCCTTCCTCTCTGAAATCAATAAAAATTGTTTTAAAAAATTACACAACTTTTCAGTTAGTACTTTGGTCTGCTTCCTCCAGGAAGTCCCCCCTGCTGCTCCCCTCCCCCTTCACATCAGCTCTGAACCCTGTCACATCCCCTCCCTGTAATTTCCTGTGTATTTGTCTGTAGGCTCCTAAGAATAAAGTTCATTTCTTGCTCATATTGTATTCTTAGCATCTAACCCAATACTTGGCACGCTATGGATTTGTTCCATGAATACCCATTGCTGTAAGTCACCCACTAGCTCTCATGGGATGGATGCCGCTGGGCCTCAGCCATCTGCACAGAGCCCCACACACTTCATGTTGCACTTAGGAGGAGAAAAGAGTCTGAAATCGAATGGACGTGGGTCAGATGCCTAGCTCCGTGATTTCATTAGCCGTGTGGCCTTTGGAAATTTGCTTGCCCTCTTACAGCCCCAGTTTGTTCTTCTATGAAATGGAGATAAAAATGCGAATCTTGCACTATTGTGATGAGGATGAAACGTGACCATCTCTGGACATTGCTGAGCTAGTTGACATAGAGCGGGTGTGGGATGTGCATTACTTTCAGTAATTACCTGCGGGAAGGATGCGGGAGGACCTGTCAGATATTGTCCTTAAAACTGTGGCAGAGAGCCCGGATGGTGTTGCTCGGTGGTTGAGCGTTGACCTATGAACCAGGAGGTCATGGTTTGATTCCAGGTCAGGGCACATGCCCAGGTTGTGGGCTTGATCCTTGGTGTGGGGTGTGCAGGAGGCAGCTGAAAGATCAATGATTCTTTCTCATCATTAATGTTTCTATCTGTCTCTCCCTTCCACTCTGAAATCAATAATATATATATATGTCACCCACTAGCTCTCCATATATATATATTATCTATATCTATAGATAATATACATATATGTATATCTATATATATATAAGCCTAATATGCAAATTGTCCTCTCAAGCTGGAGTTTGACTCACCAGGAACTCAACTGCTTGCTATGAAGTGCACTGACCACCAGGGGGTGGTGTGGAACAAAGGAAGGCCCCAGCCGGCAGCTGGCAGCCACTAGGGACCCTAACCGTGCACAAATTTTGTGCTCTGGGCCTCTAGTATATATGTGTGTGTGTGTGTGTGTGTGTGTGTGTGTGTGTGTGTGTGTGTGTACACTGAGCCATGCCAGCTGGGCAAGGTTGAGTAATATTTAGCCTAAAATATTTAAAAACTGTGGCAGAGACTGGGGTGTAGCTTGCATCTCCTGGAGTCACGTTCAGTTGCAGCCAGGAGGGGCAGGTGCCCACAAAGACACTGGGACTTGTTTCAGGTGGAGCCTTTCTAAAGCAGTGAGGCGGGGCTGTGCTGCCCAGATTTCTGACCCGCTAACAACTTGCTTCTTTCCCCTCAACTGCGACAGTTTCATAATGAATTGGCACTGGCTCCGTGGCTCTCCTGAGTAAAAATGTCATTTTCAGACGCTTTGAAATAGGCATTAGGTCAGTGTGCGAAATGTCTACTGTACTGGCAGGTGTCTGGGTGACAAGGGTTATGGTGCTCCAGGGGCATCTGTAAGCAAAGATGCTTGCGATTCATGGCAGGCTCGGTGCATTGTCTCCTCAAAAACTTATTCTCAAAAAAACAGGGTTCTCTGGATCCACTGAGGACATTGAAAAACAAATTGCATCTTAAAAACAGAGCTCCACTGATAAAATAATAACAAATAATACATGAGTTATCCCTGACAATGTGGGAGCCTGGTGTGGGGGCAGGACAGACTCTACGAACAAAGCCAACCACATAAACTCGGGCTGGCGCTGCACGTGGCTGTTAGCAAAGCCTGCAGTTGACTCACCACGCAGCCACATGGTCGTTGCCCAGATCTGTACTTCACTGCTTTGTCCTAACCCACCACCTCCTCCTGCTTTCCATCTCTCCCCTGCACACTACACCTTGCCTGCAGAGGCCTTTCCTTAGCAGGGAAAGCCTGAAGTTTTAACCCTGAATTCAAGTTCCCCTCAGGTGCCCACTATCCTAGCTGGGCCTGTGACAAACTAACTACCTACCGTCTATCTACGTGGATCCTACTTGTATGGCCTACGGCCATCTCCCAAAGATCTGGTTAATGCTAACGATACACACACTGTGCCCAAAGGAGATAGGACAGGCAACTTAGAGTTTTCTTTTATGCCACAGAATAAAAATGTCCTCCTTCAAGACCCTTTTCCTCGAACCCTGATACTTGGCACTGAGTTTTGAGAAAGACTCCAGAGACATATAAGAAGACGGGAATAGGTAGATATCGAAAGCACACAGCTAGTCTAGAAAATGTGTTTCAAATTGATCTGTTGCAAAGTATTGTGGGATTCCAACTACTCATAGTTTCTTGGGGATTTTAAATAAAACCTGAATGTTGTTCCTTTAGGGACTTATAATATTAAAAGACCATGTCAGCAAAAATAGTTTTAAGACAGAATTAAGGAAATGTGTCCAATAGGGTGTCCTTATTGATGATTTCCCTAAATCTCTTGGCCTCAAACACAAGGAGCCAGCAGAATTGTCATTGCTTCATTTCTTGTGTGTTTGTTTTAATCCTCACCTGAGGATATTTTTCCATTGATCTTTTAGAGAGTGGAAGAGAGAGGGAAAGACAGAGAGAAACATCGATGTGAGAGAAACACATTGATTGGTTGTCTTCTGCAGTCACCCTGACCAGGGCCCTGGCCAGGGAGGAACCTGCAACCAAGGTATGTGCCCTCGACCAGAATCGAACCTGGGACCCTTTGGTCTGCAGCCCAATGCTCTATTCACTGAGCCAAACCGGCTAGGGCTCATTGCTTCATTTCTATTCTGTGGTTCCCTCTAGAAACAGAAGGCCAAGGACTTCAGCCTCTGATATACAATAACTCAAGGCAACTCCGTTCAGTCCCAAGGGTGTTAGTACATTCTCAGCACCCTTAGGTCAGTTGGCAGATGATGAGCCCTAAAGTACATTTCATCCAGCTCTAGTTTGAATGATTTTATGAATATTGTGAAAAATATGGTCGGAATTAATGTGCGCAAGACCTCCTTCTATATTTTGGGTTTGATTGTCATTTTTCTCTGTGCCAATATATTCTGTTCTGTTAGTTTCACTGAGCTTAAGTGAATGGACAATTGCAAAATGGAGAAGAGAGTGTAGATCGTGGATGACTGAATCTAACACAATAGGGCTGAGTTCTTGTGTGCAGCTAAAGGGAAGACAGACCATAAGAGGTTCTCCAGTTAGAGGGTCTAACTGAGGGTTAGCAAGCTACCCTTTGGGGGTGAGAATACCACCAAAGGGGTTGCATCCTCAGATGAGGATTAACAACAACAACAACAACAAAACACACACACAAAGAAAATAAGTACGTAGTCTAAGTCAGAAACACTGCTTATTTCCTGTGACTCTTTTTTTTTTTGGTTGTGGTGTGTGTGTGGGGAGGGGGGGGAGTATGATCAATAACTGGTTCTATTCTGTTATCATCTATGAATGATTCCTACTTACATGCGCCTGGATGCTATAAAATAATTTTTCATTGAGGCTAAACTATAGAGATTTTCCTCTTAATATATGTCCTTCCCCCCTCCCCCTTGGTTACAGAGGCAGGGAGTTATCAACTCTTATGAAGATTCTCAAATGGCCTGTGGCTTCCAGTCCAATCACCACCCACAAAGAACTTGCTATTCCTTCTGGGAGGAGATGGCCACTCAGGAAGTTCCGACTGGTCTCGAACACTGCGGCTCAGGTAGGAACCTAAACAACAGCTGAGAGTGAGCACAGCGTTGAAGGACAATGGACATTGGATGAGGGCTGCGCTCTCTAAAATAGCAGCTGTTGTATCTTACTTGGGTTCGGATGCTATTGTTCTCTGATGGAAAGCCCCAGGTGTTCTCAACAACCTGAGTTACTTTGTTCTCCAAAGACAGGAAAACTACACTCTAGGAATAGACCCGAGTAAGGGGAGGTGGGTGTAGGTCTTCATTTTGTGACTAGTTCTGTCTCTTGTGCATTTCCTGCAACCTTCTCCTTTGAGCCTGGCTGTTGAGAAAGGGCCTAGAAGTGTTGCAGACACAGAGTATGAACTGGAAACACAGCCTTTTACAGAGCATAGTGTCTTTCATTTACCTTCTCTTTCCACGACTCCCCACGTCTCTGCTCATGCCCACCAGCGTCTGGCTTCTTCCTCCTTCTTTCTCTTCCTTCTTCTTCCCTGTCCCATGTTCTCTTGACTCAGTGGGCATTGATCTTTGAGGCCTTGCTTGGCATCACCCTGGGTTGGAGGCATGTTGCTGTCACTCTCTGCTTGGTATCTCAGTCCTCCAGCATAAATACGAATCCCGCAGCTGCCTACCCATTTGGAGAGGAGACAGGAGGGCTTTCTCTCTCCCCATTTCTTCATAGATGCTCCTCTCCTCCTAGCACTCCAGGCTCTCTAGGCTGGCTGGTCATATTGCTGCCCCCTGGTGAACAGGAGGCGCACTCCTCCTGGGAACTTGGGTGGAGAAAAGCTCAAAGTCCTCACCCCAATTCTATTTTGCAGGACTATCTGTGTTTCTCACAAATCCCATCAGCCTCTGTTTACCTGCTACCTTTTGGGGGGTTCATTTTAAATACAAAATGTAAAACTTGAATTTGGGGGGATCTGAAATAATTGATTCAGAAATGAAGTTCAATTTTTCATGAAAGCAGGTTATGATCATATATATCCAGATACCCAAAAGCCAGTTAAACCCTGCGTTTTATTCCTGGGATATGTTCTTAGCCTAAGAAATGTCATTATTCTCTCACTTCTTGAAATTCTGAGGAATTTCATAGGGCAAAAGCCTCTGGAAATGAACTAAAATGCAATTTTTTGTTCTGTGTCTCTTTACCCCACAACACTGTATGGCAAACTACGTGTATAGCAGGGGAAATATAAAAGAACAGTTTGTTTTGTGCCCACACTTTAGCTTTCACCAGAACTACACACAGGCACAGAGCAAGATGCTGTAGGCCTCGGTGGGGGTTGGAAGGAAGGCATGGGAGTTTCTTTGCAGTTGCCTGGGTCTTCTCCAGGGTAGAATGGAACCAATGACCCTGTCCCATGTTCTCTTGACTCAGTAGGCATTGATCTTTGAGGCCTTGCTTGGCAGCACCCTGGGTTGGAGGCATGTTGCTGTCACTCTCTGCTTGGTATCTCAGTCCTCCAGCATAAATACGAATCTCGCAGCTGCCTACCCATTTGGAGAGGAGACAGGAGGGCTTTGCGCCTGTTCACAGGTGACACTTAAGAACTTCACATTTTTTTTTAAAGACCGATCATTATTTTTACTTTAAATCCATACTTGCTGGGGTCCAACCCCAGCAGGTCCAGGGGTCCCCAAAGGTGTGGACGGAGTCGGCGAAGAAGGAATGACACAGAGACAGCGTTCAGTTGATCAGCAGCCTAGCCAGGATCTCTAGCCAGGATCTCCAGCCAAGTTCTGTTCAGGATCTCCAGCGAAGTTCTGGTTAGGATCTCCAGCAAAGTTCTGGTTAGGATCTCCAGCCAGGTTCTGTGTCCATGTTCTCTTGCTAGGTTCTCCAGCCAGGTTCTGTAGGTTCTCCAGCCAGGTTCTGTAGCCATGTTCCCTCGCTAGGTTCTCCAGCCAGGTTCTGTCCAGGTTCTCCAGCCAGATTCAGTCACCAGGTTCTAGTCAGGTTCTCTTGCCATGTTCTACCCAGGTTCTGTAGCCAGGTTCTTTCTCTAGGTTCTTCAGCCAGGTTCTCTCTAGGTTCTGTCTCTAGGTTCTGTTGCCAGTTTCTGTCCAGGATCTTTTGCCATGTTCTCTCCAGCGAAGTTCTTCTGTCTCTAGGTTCTGTGTAGGTTCTGTCTTCTAATGTCTGTCAGAACTTCACATTTTGAGAGATGAAAAAAGTGATCCTTTGAAATTCTAAACAAAATAGTGTTTATTTGTATGAAATGAAGATCAATATGGCTGTTTCTATCTATAATAATAAAAGTGTAATATGCTAATTAGACCAGACGTCCTTCCAGACGACCTTCTGGACAAAGCCGGGGCTGCGAGGGAAGCCTGGGTCCTCGGTGCCAGATGGAAGCCCAGGTCCCGAGTGCCAGAGGGAAGCTGGTGCTGGCAGCCGGGGGAAGGAAGGCCTACTCTTGCACGAATTTCATGCATCAGGCCTCTAGTATTAGTATAAATCGTGAATCCTATGAAATACCAGTAGGTTTAAGTCTTCTGTCTACCGATTTGATAGAGATTAAAGTTATCTTGTTTTCAGACTCTCAGTTCAGGACAGTGCTCCTGCTTGCGACAGGCTACATCTTATGAATAGCTGAGATCCCCCCCCTCCCCCCACTCGCCCGTAGCCTCCAGATCAGAATGCTTCATCTTCATAGCAAAAGGACATGGTCTTTCTCTTTCTTAGCTGAGAAGTACATACGTTCCCAAGTGAAGATCACTTCTCATGTCTCCTTGTCAAGGTTCTCAGAGGTACAAGAGTTTTTATTTCAGGGACAAGGAGACAGGGTCTGTGGAGAACATCCTAGCATGGAGCTGCTTTAAAAAGTAAGGACTTAGAGCAGTATCACCTAGTCTCCTATATTATACACAAGGATTGGCTTCGTTCTGCCCTGGAGAAGCGCCAGGCAACTGGCAAGTACTTCCCATGCCTTCCTTCCAACCCCCACCAAGGCTTACAGCACCTTGCTCTGTGCCTGTGTGAGGATTCCTGGTGAAAGATAAAAGCGTGGACAACAAGACAAACATCTATGTTCCATTTCTACTATTTTTTAAAAATATTTTTATTGCTTTCCGATAGGAAGGGAGAGGGAGAGAGAGACAGAAACTTCAATGATGAGAGAGAATCATCGATTGGCTGCCTCCTGCATGCACCACACTTTGGGCTGAGCCTGCAACCTGGGCATGTGCCCTGACCGGGAATGGAACCGTGACCTCCTGGTTCTGCTTCATACGTCAATGCTCAACCACTGAGCCATGCCAGGGCCTATATCTCTACTATTATACCAGTAGTTTACCATACAGTGTTGTGGAATAAAGAGATATTTAACTTCTTCCCTGTCTACTCTATGGTTGCAAGAAGAAGGAAGCTGGGGTCACTCTGACTAGTGGCTTATGTGTAGGATGGGGAGGTGGGGGGGCCATCTGACCCGTCCTCAAATGATGTACAGTCGCCATCAACGGTAGCTCAGAAAGACTGGGAGCCTCCGTGGGGGACGTGTGCCTCAGGGGCAAATGTAGTGTCTGTAGCTCCCTCTGTCTTAGGCTTCCTCTGAGGGAAATATCTGGCAAAAAAACCCACACACACAACACAAAAAACCCTGAGCTTTTCCAGCCCCTCCTTCGCCTCTGCGCTGTCCAGATGAAGGAGAGGCAGTGATTACGCCTGGGCTGTGGTCCAGCCCTCCTCGGTGATGGGTGTCCTTTGGAAGGAGACCGTGGGCTTATAGCGAAGGGAGAGGAAGACAGGGACTGAACAGTGATTTCTCCAGCTGCAGCACATTTCCTTGGAGTTGTGTTGAGTAAGAAGAAAGAGGGGGAAAAAAAATACATAGTTTCCCCCTTCTTTTATGCTATTTATAACTCCAGTTTTCTTCTCGTCCTCCGTCTCACGGCCACTCTCCACCCCCACCCCGTCTCATTTTTTGTGCTCGCGGAAGGGATGAATGAACTTTGTTCTCCCGAGTACTGCACATCTGTCAGTGGCTGGAATACCCAGCAGGAGGGGCCATGGCGGAAGGATTAGGCCCCTTCCTCTGACTGTCGCTCCTGTTCACAAAGGGACAGAGGCTGGAGAAGGGCGGGAGCAAGGGAGACGATAAAGCTGAGAGACAGCATGAATGGGGGAGGGCCATTCCAGGTGAGTGGGAGAGAATACTCAGTGACCGAGATGAGTCAAGAACCTGTTAGACAGAAGAGACAGCGAAAGGGGTGCTGAGGCAGAAAGAAAAGATGTGCGAAAATGGACAGAAAGCAAAGGTGGGTGTGAGTAGAGAGGTGGGGAATACTGAGAAGAGAACACGAAAGATGAATGGGAAGGGGGGGAAGAAGGGTGGCCCAGAAAAAGACAAGGCAAGAAGGGGAGGGGAAAATGACATGAAAGAGAAGAATGGATGAATCTGAGGACATTAGCTCTGAGCTAAAAAGGGAAGCCACACTTGCATGCAGTTGCCTGTGCAGCTGTACGTTGCTTCGTGACAATCTTGTAGTCATCATTTTCTTTCATTTCTACCTCCTCTTCCCGTCCGCCTCTCCCCTCTCTCTCCCCCATCAGCCTGGAGCCATTAGCGAGAGCCAATGGGGATGGAGTGCTGGTGTTCTGCATGAATGAATGGGCCCTTTCTGCCTTAGCTTCTCGTCATCCCTCTGTCGGGGAGCCTTGTGAATCAATGGAGCCCCTTACACAAGATGTGGTTAAAATGCCTGTTACTCTGTATAGTCTGACCGGAGTGGCGCCCACTGACCCTGTCTCCTCTCTGCTCCCTTCCTGTATTCTGGCCCCCCAACTCAACCCTTTCTCTCAGTCATCATAGCAAGATTCACTTTTTTAAAAGTCAGCCTCTTACTCCTTGCTTCTTAGAACTCACTAGCACTTCACAGCCATTAATTATTATGACTAGTCCCCATCCACAGCCCTGTTGAAAGGGCTGTGTAGATGGAAGCCATTTTTAGACACAGGCAGTGAGCTCAGAATGGTCCCCAGATCCAGCTGGAGTCATTCAATGCCTATTTTCCAC